GGCGGGAGAGAGGGGTACGGGTTCCAAAACGGACGGAGGAAATGTTCATCAGAGACAGGGAGCAGGAGAGGGCAAGAAGAGAATGAACAACTTCTGTCCTGCTGAGCCAGATGGCTGGGGGGGGGGGCCTGGAGGCGGTAGCCCCAAGAGCCCTCGGGGCTCACAAGTCTCCCCGAGGCTAAGCAGCTTAGAGCAGACAGGCCGGCTTTACCCGGGCGGCAACGGCGTGAAGGCGGCACAGTCTCCAAGCTGCAGCTCCAAGGTGCTCAGAGCTCCCCGGCTTGATGCAGCCGTGTGACCAAGTCGTGCACACATGGGGATCCAGAACAACTCGCTGCGCTGACCGTGTCCCATCTGTTCACGTCTGTGGACACCTGTTCCAGAAGATAATTCAATTATGAAGAGTTTGGGGGCAATATTGGGTGGTACAAAGAACAACAGTCTTAGAGTGAGGCTGACTGGCTTTAAATCCTGGAGTCTCCCACATCCCAGTTCTGTTACTTTAGCTAGGCTATTTAACTTCTCTGACAATCAGTTTTCTCTTCTATAAAATACGAGTAATAAGGCTACCTATAAGACTGCTGTTAGAATGAAAGGTAATGCATGGAAAGTGACCAGCACAGTGCTTGGAACATGGGCTTTATTCCTTTTTAAAATAGAAATAGGGGCTCTTATACTTAATAATAAATAATAAAATAACAAAGGGACTTTAACATATTAATGGAGCCAAACTCCCTCAGAAACCTGAGAAACTCTCATGCTTCCATATCTTGACCCTCGTTTTAACTCTTCTTATAAACCACTCCACCGTCAGAACATAACGTGTAAATCTATAAACATGTTGGAATTAAAATTATTTTTGTATACATCCTCTCAAGCTCTTCTTTCTGAGGCTCACTAGAATGGCTTTGTGTGTACCCCATTTGCAACCTTCCCTCATCCTCTAAAGAGGCTTTTGCCACTGCCAAACTGATTTTCTAGAATTTCGTGATGCAGAATTATGAGAAAAATTGGTGGAGTAAGAGAGTAACATGTTCTCACACTAGGCTGGCAGCGAAGAAAGTGGACAATGAAGATTGCCGAAGACTCGAAGACTGAGCAGCAGGTGTACGTGAAAGAGCAGATGAGAGAGGAACGGGGTGTTGTGAAGAAATCCATAAATTTTGTGCAACTCATGTTTGTTCCAGAAATGAAAGTAATGACTTGCTGTTACTTTGAAATTAATTTTTGATTGCTGGACTGTATTTGTATGACTAGGTCAGTATTCTGAACTATGAGGGTCATAATGTTTCTAATTAGTTTTATAAGGTTACATAAATTCATGTAAAAATAAGTCACACTTAATAGCCACTTGGAGAGATGGCTTAGATGATTACGTTGCCCACGAAGAAAGACATGGATAAGAAAAACAGCTTAGGTCCATGGTTTCTCAGTCTTGGGCTACATAAGACTCACCTGGGAGCATTTAAAAATAGACTCTTACACCCCATCTGAGGAGTTTTGATGCTGTTGTTTGGGGGAATCTGCATATTTCATTGTCCCGACATGATTCTAAGGCAGGCAATTTATGAACCCGATTCTGACATCTCCAGACAGTTTTGTGTGCCCTGGGGGCTTCTGTAACTCAACTACAGAACCATGAACGTAACAGTGTTCCTTTGGGTTGCATTCTTCTTAGTCGCGTTTGCAGGGACACCTCACCTTCTCTGTAACTCAGCCCCCACTCCCATCCTTGACATCTGTAGATTAACTGAAAACAATAATTATTATTTTTTCTGGTTTACAGAATAAGCATTTACCCAAACCCCTCTCCAACACTAACGCAAGCTATTAAATCACATTCACTGGGGTCATCTCCCTAATGCAAATTTCTACAAAATCTTAACAGAAAGATAATTGGAAAGAAGAGTTGGCTGCAATGGTAAGGAGTAATTTGCTTGACTCCATAACAAAATGCTGAAGTGAGAACAGGAAATGTTTTGCTTCTAGGAACTTTTGAGGAGGCTGCACTTGTGAAAGTAGAAAGGCTTTCTCACCCATAATCAACTTTGGCTGTAGATTAAGCAGGTTGTCCATTTTATTTTTTATTTTATTTTATTATTTTTTAAATATATCTTTATTGACTTAAGAGAGAGGAAAGGAGAGGGAGACAGAGAGAAAAATCAATGATGAGAGAGTCATTGATCGAGCCCGCAACCTGGGCATGCGCCCTGACCGGGGATCGAACCCCTATCTCCTGGATCCCAGGTCGATGCTCAGCCGCTGAGCCACTTCCAGCAGGGCAGGTTGTCCGTTTTAAAACCAAGCAATAAAAATATTTATGCTCATCTCCTGGTGGGGTTTGCCCAGAGCTTTCCAAGCCTGGATTGGAAGGTGCTCAGGCCACCCACCCGCTGCGCCTAATCATCAAGTATGAGCTGTTCTAAAGGCAGCTTTGCTCAGTGTGGCCTGTTGCCATTCATCATGCAGGTGGCGCTGAAAACTGTGATCACTGATGCGGGACTCGAAAAATGAAGCAAGCCATCATAAAATACCAGGTTTTTATGGGAACACTGGAGGATCAACTTTATTTATAAAGAGCCAGCTCAGTCTTCACAGGGAGGGTGCTTCTGTGACCTTTTGGTAAACGTGCTCAGTAACTACCCAGGAATTGGCTGTATTGATTGGTCAGCTCTAAAGACACAGTAGGAAGACCTGGGAGCAGATGTGCCCCTGGTTGGATACTGTCCACCCAGGTTACATTCTCCATACCTGCCAGCCCCGTTTCCAAAAAATAATGGTCGTGTCCTGCCAAATCTGGAGATGCGACATCTTGATGTCATCTTAAATAAATTTCAACTCTAAAGAAACATATTTCCCTTGTCTCAGCCATAGCTCTGCTAAGGATTAATAAGGTGGTGGTAACAAGCACCAGGAAAGGCAGATGGAGAGAAGGTAAAACCGCTTTACATTTTGTATACTCCCTTTAGGAGACTCATTCAACCAGACTGCAGCCTGTTAGCAAGAGTCTTATCTTCATAAGAACTATTTCAGTTATTAATGGGGTAAAGACTCTGGAATTATAAAATGTAAAACTCTAATACCCAAATGTAGTGTGGTGATTTTTAAATATTTTCTTTTTTTAAATAACACTTTATTAAATTTATTGGGCTGACAGTGGTTAATAGGAACATATAGGTTTCAGGTGTGCGTTTCTATGTTACAAGATCTGTATATTGCTCTGTGTGCCCACCACCCAAAGTCATATCTTCTCCCGTCACCATATATTAAGACCCCCTTCACCTCCCCCTCCCACCCCCTTCCCTCTGGCAACCACCACACTGCTGTTCGTGTCCATGAGTTTCAGTTTTATATCCCACATATGAGTGAAATCGTATGGCTCTTAACTTTTTCTGACTGACTTACTTCACTTAGCATAATATTCTCAGGGTCTGTCCATGTTGTTACGGATGGCAGTGTCCCATCCTGAGTAGTGAGTGTTCCATTCTGTACATGTGCCAGACCTTCTTTATTCAGTCCTCTATGGCAGGACACTTGGGTTGTTTCCATGCCTTGATTTCTTCTTTTTAATATATTTTCTACTATTGAGTTAAAACTTCACAGCGTGAAGAAAATATAAAAATATAGTGCTTTTTGAAGATAATGCTATAGTGCTTAGCGCATTGGCTTCCAATATCAGAGATGCTGTAGTTGTCTTTTTTAAAAAGCCCTTAACCAACAGTACAGGCTTTGCTTCACATCCAGACTACTGGTGATTTCTCAGTTGCTTTTCTCAGAGACTTGGTGGAACTGGACACAAAAGCTTGAGACTCAAGGCAAACACATATCACTTTACAGACCAGTAAGTCTAAAGCCCTTTATTTCTAAGGGAAATATTTCTAAGGGTACTTTATGTCACATCCTGTTTTGTAAGTAAGACTTGGCATTCCAAAGAGAATGCAGCTGACAGCGTGTCTGTCATCGGCTACCATCGGCATCTGAACTCGCGGAAAAATAGCAGAGTGAGACACACGCCCAGAGCTGGCCACATTTCTTACGATAGTTGAGCATTTGGCTGAGCAAAGTTTGCAGTGTATGGGTCTCAAGAATGACATAAAGTGTGTTTTTTCCCAACTGAGAATGTTTTATCAGTTTAAAACAGGATAGAGGAACTAAGTTTGCAATCCTTAAACAATCTTTTCTAAGATCGACTAGTATGACTCTTTTTTCTTCTTTTTTTTTATTGCTTCACATCTATCAATATTTTTTTAAATTTTATTTTTGTTCAAAATATTACAGATGTCCCTTTTTCTCCCCAATGACCCATTCCACTCTGTCCCACCCCCCTCCCCAGTCCCTCTCCCCTCCATTGTCCGTGTCCTTGGCTTGTGCATATACGCACATAAATTCTTTGGTTACTCTCTCTCCCTCCACCCACCTGCCCTCCTCCATCCCTCTGACAGTCATCAGTCTCATCTATGCTTTTGTGAGTATGACTAACTCTTAATAGAATAAAGAGGCTTGGAAATTTTGATTCATACAGAAAAGGAGGCCCTTAAAAGGAATCCTGGGGTCTGGCAGTCCAAAAAGATCAACCAGTCTCTCTAAAAAGGAGTGCAGAATTTAGCCACTTGAGATGCTTTCCTTCTATTAAAAATTAGTACCTGGTCTTCTCCCTGAGAAGACGTCAAAGCCTGAAGATGCTGAGGAGGAGACAACCACTGTAGGCATCAGCGCTGAGGACTCTGCCTTCCATCATGGCATTCTTAGAACCATTTTTTTTAGGTACAAGAAGTAGAGATTTTCTCCAAAAAGGTATTTAACCATATATTTAAAGTTACTTGTTTCTTTGCTTGTACACATTTGTTCTATATGCATGCCTATATATTATTATTTTTTAATGAAACACCAGGAAAAAAGTTCTATGCTAAAATCTTGTGGGTTGTAGTCAATCGTACTGAAGGTCTTGCTCACAGGTCAGAAACAATTCTTTATTTCTCTTTCCCTCTTGCTTTCCATAGGATGGGTTTATTGACTTCTTAGAGTTTATTGCTGCTGTAAATCTAGTTGTACGAGGAAAAATGGAGCAGAAATTGAAGTGGTATTTTAAGTTGTATGATGCTGATGGAAATGGTTCTATTGACAAAAAGGAACTACTGAGCATCTTCATGGTAAGTGGGGTAGCAAAATATCTTTTGCAGGACATTATGTAGTTAATCCAATTTTCCTGCCTGTGGGGTTGATGATAACTCTCTATGTGGTTGGCTATTTTGAGGATATTAGCAAATTGGATCCAGCAATATATTAAAAAGATCATACACCACGACCAAGTGGAATTTATTCTAGGGATGCAAGGCTGGTACAATATTCACAAATTAATAAACATGATAGATCACATAAACAAAATGAAAGACAGAAGTCACATGATCCTATCAATAGACACAGAAAAAAGCATTTGACAAAATTCAACACCCATTTTTGATAAAAACTCTCAACAAAGTGGGAACAGAGGGATCAGACCTCAACATAATAAAGGCCATATACGACAGACCTACAGCCAACATCATACTCAATGGGCAAAAACTAAAACCACTTCCCCTAGGAACAGGAACAAGACAGGAGTGTCCACTCTCACCACTCTTATTCAACATAGTATTGGAAGTCCTCGCCATAGCCATCAGACAGGAAGAAAACATAAAAGGTATCCAAATTGGAAAGGAGGAAGTAAAACTGTCATTATTTACAGATGACATGATATTGTACATAGAGAATCCTAAAGACTCCACCAAAAAACTACTAGATTTAATAAATGAATTCAGCAAGGTAGCAGGATACAAAATTAACACCCAGAAATCGATGGCATTTTTATACACCAATAATGAATTCTCAGAAAGAGAAACTAAAAAAACAATCCAATTTACCATTGCAACTAAAAAAATAAGATACCTAGGAATAAACTTAACCAAGGAGGCAAAAGACCTGTACTTGGAAAACTACAAGATGTTGCAAAAAGGGACAGAGGAAGATATAAACAAGTGGAAGAATATACCGTGTTCACAATCTTTTATTTTTATATATCTTTATTGATTTCAGAGAGAGGAAAGGAGGGGGAGAGAGAGAGACAGAAACATCAATGATGAGAGAGTCATTGATCGGCTGCCTCGCCCGCAACTCGGGCATGTGCCCTGACCGGGAATTGAACCCAGATCACCTAGGTCGATGCTCAACTGCTGAGCCACGTCTGGCCGGGCACAATCTTTTATTTTTAACAATTAGAACAGGTTGGATAGCAAAATTGACATGAACACATCCCCAAATTCTGTCACATTGGGGTGGAAATGTCATAAAATGTGTATACTTTCAGCCAAGTTGAACATCTTGATTTAATTTATCTTTGCAGACTGTACAAACCCTCAATGGCCAGCACACTCTGAGTCCTGAAGAATTCACCAACTTGGTGTTTCATAAGATTGATATAAACCATGATGGTAAGACAGCTACTCTCCTCAGGCTTATGTTTCTTTCAAAGCAGGAGGTGGTGGTGATGGGAAGTGCTGTTTAGACGAAAGCATGAACCTTTCAAGAGACCCCTTGGTGTGATGTCATTTGAACTACAGAATTTGACCAGTCTAATGTTTTCCAGTTGATACAATTCAACTGAGCAAATATTTATTGACCATATTGATATTCAACACATGGTGCTTGAGACTTTAGGATTAAGAGTAAAGGGAGATACAAGGAAAGAAAGTGAATATGAGATGAAGGACCCCTTTGCTGTTTGCTCTGGGACATATTCTATCATTATTTCCTTTACTGGAGGTTTCTCATCACCTTACAAATAAACTTTAGTTTTCCTTACTGAACAGACCCTTCCTGCAATTATGCTATCTCCTTCTATGATCAATTTCTGTTTCTTCCCTTTGGCTACACATTTCTGGAAAGAGTTGTTCATCCTTGCTTCCATTTCTGCTCTTTCTGCCCATTTCTCCATCTTCTATCTCTACCCCAAAATATGGATTCCACTTTGGATAAAAAATATTCACTTCTTCAGAGGCAGAGTGAAAAGAAGACACAGATATTCCAAGAGAAGAGAGAGTGCTTCCACAATTGACTAGGTGAGCATAGTAATTTGAGATTGAGGCAACGTATCTAGGAATGGCCCTTGAAAAGAAGAAAGTTTGGAACTGTGTAAAATATAATGTTAGTAGGAGATTTTTAAGAAGTGTGGATATGAGGCACTGGGACTCCAGTCATGGTTGTCATCAATCCACAGTTAACTTTTTTCACAGAATCAACCTGCCCACATGGGTCATTTCTTATAGTGGACATTAGAGGGCAGTAGAGCCCCATGTGGAGTGTGGCAGTTTGCACTAGTCAAAGGAGTCAGTTCAGTCTGGCAGGATGGGATGGTGAGGCGGCTGAAAGGCAGTTCAAACGAAATCGCCATTACGAGCGAGCCAAACAACTGGACAAGCATATAATTTTCAGGAAAACATTTGGAAATAGTTAATAGCATCAACCCTCCTACTAAGGACCTAGTTTTAGATCAGCCTCACCTCAATCTCAGGTCAGAAGGCTCACTTACTAGTTTACCAAGACCAAAGCCATTTGGTGTAACCACTCATACACATTTGAGTCTCTTTACAGACTGAGAATAAAATAAGTCAGCTCCTGTGAAAGTTTGCAAGCAACAAATGCAGAGTTCATAAGGAAGTTAAGCAAAGCTAGAAAAAGGACCAGAGAAATGGAGAGTGGAAGGTCTTATGGGGGCCAGCGAAGCCTTGTTTGGAATGTGCAACCCAGAGCGGTGATCGCCAAACAGGAGCAATGCTGTAGGTTTTGTTCTGCTTTGTTTCCAGTTTTAACCTCAGGGGTGCTGCAGGGTGGCAGGGATTGGAGTAGAGAGGGGACACCATTCCTTCCCGGGGGGCTGAAATCTTTGACCCTTTGAAGGATGAGTATTCCGGAAGCCGATGGGACATCACAAATGTTGAAAACTTAGTATACAGTGAATTTCAAAAGTCAGGTTAAGAATGCCTGAAAATATCTATAGATCCTGCTTCTAGTGCTAGGAGAAGAGGGATAGAAAGAGGTGAGCTTCCTTAGAGAAATATGAGGATTGTAGTATCCCTACGAAGAGGCTTGAGTTCTATTTGTTTGAAGGAGCAGAAAATATATTCCAGAAAACAAGAAAGTGATGGAGGACACTTTTGTTTACTATTTAAGGAGATTTCTCAAGAACAGAGTATAAGAGACCGATAAAATGGGAAATACCGGTCGGAGGAGGCCTAGAAATAGACAGATCTGGGTTGAAAATGTGGATCCCGGGGAGTAAAAGGTGTGCTCAGGCAATAACTGCGGTTACCTGCAGTTAGAAAAATGGGCTCTTTGGCCTGGAGGAGTACGTGAAAAGAGAGACAATGCCTTATAGCTTCTGGAATATCTTCTAGAACTAAGCACATGAATAGTTTCCTCTGATAGAAACCTGTGTTTAAGAAAAAAAATATATCATTGGCTTCTACAAAATGAAGAAAGCAAATAAACTAGTTGCACTTTGGAATAATAACAAACTGCTGTTTCTTGGCAAATGCAAATGCAGCGCTAAAGCTGACAGAAGTGGCTTTTATGTGGAAATTATTAGAGGTGGTTATGTCATCTCATCAAGAGACAGCTGGGTCATTCCATGTATCAAAGAAAAGATGCTGAAATTGTACTATTGGACAAAGACAGCTCAGTGCACCCAAGCACAAGGAAGAGAAAGTAATGAAGATGCAGAAGGTTGATGTACAAGCCTAATCAAATATGATTTTTATTTTTATTACCATTATCAAAACATCAGTGTTGAATAGAAATGTTCAATTAAGTACACCAGAATAGTGTTGACTATATGCCAACATATATATATGTGTGTGTGTGTGTGTATATGTGTATATATATGTATGTATATATGAAGTTCTATATAAGAAAACAACCAGATTGCAAAATATATACATTAATTTCTCAAAATAAAAACCAAGCACATCATTAGTACCTGATGGCCCAATGCATATTGAAACCAAAGACAAAGAAGATCACAACACACCAAGATACAACCAGAAAAACTTCAGGAACATATATGAAAACCCAATTAGACTGAAAATTGTTTGCGAAAGAATGACCAACATCAAATCTGTTGGCACAAAAAAATGCATGACAGCTATGAAGTACTCTATACATAATTATCATGGTAGTTAGCAAATCAAAGTTAGAAGATTAATGAAAAGAGAGATATAGGAATAATGCTAAGAAAATAAAAAATGAAGAGCTACAAGCTCTATGAGGGCAAGAACTGTTTTCATTTTTTAAAGGAATAGTTTATTGATTTTTAGAGAGAGAGAAAGGGAGAGGGAGAGAGAGAGAAACATTGATGTGAGAGCACAGCCCCCTACTGAGGATCCAGCCCACAGCACAGGGCACGTGCCCTGACCTGGAATCGGAAGGACAACCTCCTACTCCGTGGGACGACGCCCAACCAACTGAGCCACACCCACCAGGGCAAGAACTATTTTTATTTTATATACTTTGGTATTTCCTGTGCTCTCAGGAAATACCTGGCACATAGTAGGTACTCTAGAAATAGCTGCAAAATGAATGACTGATAAGAAGATGTCATATGAAAAGCAAAGGAAGGAATAAAGAAGAAACAGGCACAATATTCAGTGCTATCTGTGGGAAGAAAGGCCTCTGGAATAGAAGACTATTTTGGAAATTAACATATATATGCGTATGAATTGCATACTTCATAAAATATAAACAGGGATTGATTAGCAGGAGTTAATTATCAATGGAAAGTGTAATTGGGGGGCCAGAGAGAGGTTAAAGGGAGATTCTTTCTTCTCTACACCTTTCAGCAGTATTTGAGTCTTTTACCATGAGCATGTATTATTGTTATAATTCAACAGATTAGTTTTATTTTTATATTATGCACAGTAGCATCCAGGAAGGACAGCTTGATGAGAATCGCAAAGACAGAAAATTGAAGTTCAACATTCAGTGTTACTGAAGAGTGGAAAGAGAGAGAACAGCGAGACGAGTCAGGATAAGGGAGCGTGGATTCGACAACCTGTATTGCGGGAAGGACAGCAACCCGCATTCCACCCTGAGCTGCTTGGAAGTCGTTCCTCACGTGACTGAGGAAGACTTACAGATGCTGTTCACAGCATTAAGTGCCAAAAGTCTAACACAGCGCCAAACAGCACAGGGACAGGGAGACTTAGGTGGCTCATAAAAATAAACAGTGAAAGTCAAAAGAGACAGAAGGAAGCCAAAGGGGAAATGAAAGAGGGTGATTACTGAGCAGACATTTAGGGTAAAAGAAAACAGGGACAGGACATAAAGGAAGAAGCTGAGTGACTAACCAGAAAGACATGTTTTAGAATGGAACATTCTGGAAAGCCAGCAGGGTCACAGGAAGCAAACTGGGAAACTGGGAACTACCAGGAGATCAGAGGGAGCTGAGTTTCCTCATATAAGAGAAGAAACCACTGCACTTAAAACTCTGCTATGGGCCAAACTGGTTTGCTGAGTGGTTAGAGCAAACTGCAGACTGAAGGGTCCGGGTTTGATTCCAGCCAAGGGCATGTGCTTTGGTTGCAGGCTCAAACCCCCGGCCCTGGTCAGGATGCGTGTGGGAGGCAACCAATTGATGTGTCTCTCTCACATCGATGTTTCTCTCTCTCCGTCTCTCCCTTCCACTCTCTCTGGAAAGCAATGGAGAAAGTATCCTCAGGTGACGATTAAAAACAAAAACAAAACTCTGCTACGATTGTATTTTGAGTTTTTTTAAAAAAATACATTTTTATTGATTTCAGAGAGAGGAAGGGAGAAGGAGAGAGATATAGAAACATCAATGATGAGAGAGAGTCATTGATCGGCTGCCTCCTGCGCGCCCCCTGCTGAGGATGGAGCCCGAAACCCAGGCATGTGCCCTGACCGGGTATCGAACCTGGATCTCCTGGATCATAGATCAATGCTCAACTACTGAGCCATGAAGGCTGGGCTGTATTTTAAGTTTTAAGTGCAGCCAAAGAACATGTATGCATAGCCCATGGACACAGACAACCATGTGGTGATGGACAGAGGGAAGGGGGTGTGGGGGCTGGGTGGACATGGGCAAAGGGCTGGAGGAAGGTGGTTGGGGGTGGTAAGGACATCTGTAACAGTGTCAACAATAAAAATAAAGTTATATAAAACACACTATGATTGTCTTTTATAGCAGTTTTAAGTACAGTGGTTTCTTCTCTTATATGAGGAAACTCGTGTTGTTTATTATTTTCTAGGAGAACTGACTTTAGAAGAATTTATCAATGGCACAGAAAAAGATCAGGATCTTCTGGAGATTGTTTCCAAGAGCTTCGACTTTTCCAGTGTACTGAAAGTGATCTGTAATGGGAAGCAGCCAGACACAGGGGCAGGCTTCCTTCAAACCATCTGACAGGGCCGGTCTGCGGAAGGAGGCAATGAAGCGGCTTCGGGAACGCCTTTCCCAGATCTCAGTTAAGAAGAAACGAAGTTCCCCCCATGCACACGTTACTGACTTCAGGTTTTTATTATAATTGCTGTCAGTTTATGAATCCATCACTCATCTTAAGTCCCACGGAGACTTCCATAAACATCCTAGACAGAAGCATTGTTGTTTTTCTGTTTGTACATTAGTATTCTCTGAGCAGATCAGGATATGACAAACTGAAGAACTGACTCCATAGCTATCAANTCATCTTAAGTCCCACGGAGACTTCCATAAACATCCTAGACAGAAGCATTCTTGTTTTTCTGTTTGTACATTAGTATTCTCTGAGCAGATCAGAATATGACAATTAAACTGAAGAACTGACTCCATAGCTATCAGTTCAAAACAGAGCTTACATGTACGTTTCCTTGCACAACTAAATTAATCTGCATCTTCAGGTAGAACCAGATGATCAGGGCAGCGTCTCCACAGTTTAGCATTCTTCTTAGATTAAACATGCATTTGACAAATGTGTTCACTGCTCTTGGCTCTTGCTGCATCCGTATGTTATAAATGACTAAGTTCTGGTTTATTGAGAAACATTTCTTCTGTCCTTCGTTCTTGTTCCTGACCCCAAATGCTGTCTTGAATCAGCAATAATGTTCCGTTCCAAAGGCAAAGTCTTAAGCTATGAGGTAAAAGGAGAAAATTTCGGGCGGGCAATGAGAATGTTTCCGTCGGGTTTGTTATAAATGTGGGACCAGTTGTGCATGAAGATGCAATGCCTCATCTGTAATTATTATGCCGGTTGGAGGTTGGATCAGAACAGCAGACAGCCAGGCTATGCAATAACAAGCACTTGACATTTTAAGTGGTCATGACATTATAGCTCTGACATTTTATTTTCTATATCCCTTCCCAAAAGTGAGATGATGAAGGGGATTTCTTGATGGGTCAGAACTTTTTAAGTTTGGGGTTCTGTATCACAGGCCCATTAGCACATCTTTCAGTGCACACAGTGAAACACAGTGGAGGATGAAGAGCAGATGTGAGCTGTCTTTATGTAAAAGGCTTCCTAGTTATGCTTTTGTATTCAAATTTGGGTGAAAAAGACACAATTGAAACTATAAGACAGAGGTGGACTGTCCCTGTCTCCCTCATAGTTACAGATACGGATAAAATTACTGTATAGAGAGAGGTATAGATGAACCGTATTTGGCAGTAAAAATACAGTGTAAATGGAGGTAAAAATAAGTTATAGATGAAGAGAAAGATGGCAGTAGGATAGATGGAGGTAGAAATATTCTAGGGGTTTCCAAAATATTTTGAGGAGATTCACAAAGAAGTACACAGTATAATATAAAATATGTTAAAATACAATGATCACAGCCCTGGAGGGTGTGGCTCAATTGGTTGGAGAATCATCCCCGTGCACCAAAGGGTCCGGCTCAATCCCTGGTCAGGGCGCATACCCAAGTTGTGGGTTCCATCCCTCGTTGGGGAGCATATGGGAGGCAGCCCATAGATGTTTCTCTCTGTGCCCCTCCCTCTCTTTCTCTCTCTCTAAAATAAATTAAAACATATCTCAGGTGAGGATTAAAACATAGTAATAATAAAAATGATCACAAATAATGTAACACGAGAAAAATCATTGCCACTCAAATAGCACAAAGTCCTACTCAGTTGCCAAAAGTGAAAAGAAAAACCATTACAGTCTTGCCCTGGCAACAACCCCATTCTGGCAGTGGCATTTATTTCACTTTCCCCCCACATTCCTCTGAGGCACCTAGTGTTTTCTCCAGAGAAAACAGGGTCCCAGCACCCCTTTCCAAGCTTCTATGTTCAATAACCCCAACCTCTTCCTATTGTTCCCCAGCCTAAGGTGGTAGCTGCTTCCTGCCATTTCTGTGTTACTTCAGTGTCCTCACTTTGCTTCCTCAGTCCTCCAATGTCCTTTTAACTAATTCCTTATACTAAATTTTTTCTGTAAAAATAACTAGTGTGGCTTTTGTTTCCCTGACTAGAGCCTAATACTGGGCCCTGACTGACTGAGGGGTCAACCCTACTTAGGATGAGGAACCCACCCCCTCCTTTCCTTGTATGTGCTGAGTACTTACTCTGGAACTGTGCTGAGTGGGCTTGTTTAATCCTAATAGCCCAGTGATGTGGCTGTCATTTGTCTGGCAATTGAGACTCAAAGATGTGATTCTGTTTTCCCAAAATTAATGCTTGGTAACACCCTTCTAGCACCCTCTTTGGGCTGAACCAAGCTAACAGGGAAATAGCTGCCAAAGGAGCCACACGGTCAGTATGACCCCAGCCTCGCTTCACAAAGAGGAATATGGAAAGATGGGCTTGGAATTGAGAGTTTATAGCCTAATTACTAGTACAGTTAGGATAGGTGGGGTGAGTCAAGTAGACACCTTAAGGGCACCTCACCACCTATAGGTCCCATGTTATAAGCATCCAAGCTCTGCTTTACCTCGGGCCCCACCTCCCATTTTATGCTTTGAACCCTGTAGTTCTCACCTGGCTTCCCCAGGCTCCAGTCATCCTGTTGCCTCTTACCTGGGTCTTCCTCCACCCATTACACCCTTTGGGATCATGACTGCTTTGTTTAGTATACCTAGGTTTGGTTTTAGTTTTTCCCTGGATGCTGCTTCTTAGATTTCTAAGCTCTGTTCCATGTACTGTACCCACGCCCATTCCATGTCTACCTCTTCTCAAGTTGTCTCTAGAGCTCATGGATTCCTCCCTTTCAAAGGATAGCTTTGTCTTGCCCGTAAGAAGGGCAGGCAGGTCCACATAGCACACACTTCTCAGCTTCTCAGGAGAATTGGTTGTTGGGTACAAAGAGTGTAAAGATACCAGTCGTTTGTCATAAGAAAACAGATCATAAAATAATATCTACTTCATAGTTTTGCTGAGGGTGGTGATAAGAAGGAGATGAGTCTGAAATTTAGGTACAAAATAATTTAGACTAATTCATGGTTAAGTGAGGTAGATAAAAAAAGAGGCTGGAAAAATAGAACCACATTGTTTCACTCAAGTCCCCACCTCTTAAGGTCATATCTTCCTGAAGTCAAGTTTCTTCTCCATGCTTTCCTTTGCAGCTTAGTAGCATCATGAGCCCAGTTAAAGGAAAGAGTCTTAGTCTACATATGAAGTCATGTTACCTAAATGAACTGGATATTTATTTAAGTAAACTTCCTATTCCTTCAGATAATAAGCTTTAAGCAAAGCCTACTGGCCAGTGATAAAAAAAAGGAAAAAAAAGCATTTTTTGTATTTAATCAGAATTCCATGTGTTTCCCCCTAATGGTTTTACAGCACTATTTCAAGCAAGATATTACATGACAAGTAGGATCTAGTGTGTGAAAAACCTCAAAATCTTTCATTAATTTCTGAGACTGTCATTCTCATTTACCAAAGGGCAGTGGCTGGACCAGAATTATAACCATCTAACGAGAACCTAGATATTTCAACGTATTTTCCTCCCCCCCCAATTCCTTGATGCTTTGATAGAAAAACACTATTTTAAAAAAGAAAGGCGAAAGGGAAAATATTAAAGGTTCTAATAATTTTTGCCTTATAAAATTGAAGAATAAAATTGAAAAAGACTAAAATCATACTACTCAAATCTCTCTGTAAGAGTTAAAGCTGCTAATCAGAAAGAATATATGCACCCCTATGTTCACAGCAGCACAGTTTACAATAGCTAAGAGCTGGAAACAGCCCAAGTGCCCATCAGTAGATGAGTGGATAAAAANAAGATCTGGAAACAGCCCAAGTGCCCATCAGTAGATGAGTGGATAAAAAAGCTGTGAGACATTTACCCCATGGAATACTACGCAGCTGTAAAGAAGAAGAACCTCGTACCCTTTGGGACAGTATGGATGGACCTGGAGAATATTATGCTAAGTGAAATAAGCCAGGCAGAGAAAGACAAACATCACATGATCTCGCTTATACGTGGAATCTAAAGAACTTAATAAACTGATGAACAGATTAGATTCAATGACATGGAAGCATAGATGAGACTGACGAATGTCAGAGGGATGGAGGAGGGCAGGTGTGTGGAGGGGGAGAGAGTAACCAAAGAATTTATTTGCAGATATGCACAACCCAAGGACACGGACAATGGTGGGGAGAGGGACTGGGGAAGGGGGTGAGATGGGGTGGAATGGGTCATTGGGGAGAAAAAGGGACACCTGTAATATTTTAAACAAAAATAAAAATTAAAAAAAAAAAAAAAAGTTAAAGCTCTACTGGGAAGATGGCCTGAGTCTTTGGTCCAAAATATCAAGAAAGAATAAAAGGGAGATGAGCGGCAGCTCATCCAGGGTGAGAGCAAGTTCTAATATGATTTTTTTTCTTTTTCCTCAAAGCAGTGGCAGGTGATCAGCTGCTCCTTCAATTAAGACTTGGTTCTTTCTGGCCCAAAGAACATTCCACTTCACAAACTCTCTACTGACACAGAACTGCTGTTTAAAGTGGAACACGAGGCTGTGGGGCAGGAGAATGGTTTGGGAGGCACAAATATTTCCTTCATTTTTGTTTCCAAAATGTGTTAGTATAAATATGATGGGAAAATAAAAGAGAAATATGATTTGTTTGGAATTAACTATATGGTTGAGAGACAATGAAGAGGCCTGAAGGAAGGGTTAGTACATTAAAGAAACAGTATGAGTGTTCAAGACAGCCTGTTTGCTCTGCTCCCAACACCCTGCCCCCTGTTTATATTAGAATAACCTTTACAAAATAAAAATGAAATTCAGAGAAGTTCTGACATTTAAAACCAAGCTAGGGTCTTGCTGAAGAAATCTAAATCATTAAAATTGTGTGGACACAGAATAGCTGTTTTTCAATTCTCCGAGTTTGTTTCTGAAGACACCTGTAGGTATGCAAAACTGGACATTCAAATTAAACCCAGGGAACACAAAGTTATATCAGATGGCTGACAACACTGAGATAAATATTTAGGG